ATATTTTTCACTTGTTGTTAACTATCTTTGTTATTATAACAGAGATAGCAAATAACTGCATTAATTGTATGAGTGAGTAGATCTTGATGATGAGAATGTGATATATCAAAGTCTTCCACCAGACTATTGCAGAGCGTTCTTTTAAATATGGCTTTATTGAAGCAAAACCAAGAAAGAATATGCTGATGAAGTGAACGTTGTTGTTAGTGATTAATCTCTTGCCAGTAAAGATAGTGCAGATTCGTAAGTTTTGAGTGGTTGAGTTTAACTCTTGGAAGCTGAAAGGTGGCCTTATTCTAACATAATTGCTTAATTTAAAATATGCTATTAATAATATGGTATTTATACCCATAAACCCTTCTGTTAAAAATTTAATTACCACATATTAAATACAGGTAGCCAAACTAGTTTAAGCTTTGGGAATACAGAAGAAAATTAGTTGGTTGGGGAAAAAAAAGTCTACTCAAAGATTTAATGGGCAGTGATTGATTGGTGATGATGATACCTCCCTACCTTTCACTGTTTCATCTTTTATGGATGAATAATCCAGTTTGGTTTTGATTAAACTTGGTAAGTTTGTTCATATACCATTTTAAGAATCAACAATCTTAAGAACCACTGAACTACATCGTAGGTGAAATCCTTTGAGAAAGACAGACAGACAGAGAAAAGGATTTTAGAATCTGACTTAGTTGATCACCTGATCCAGAAGCTGAAAACGAAAACCGGTGACGAAAGGTGTAGTAGGTGAGTAGCATAACATATGGGAAATGCTGAAATCAAGCAGTAGTTTGTACAGGTCGTTGATGTCTCCTACTACCCATGTCTCATTCTCCTTTCTCTGGCCTCTGCCAGTCTTGGCATTTAACTTCACGACTAACCTGCTTCTCAGGTGTTTTGTAATGGATCGGTCAGAAGCTGTGAAAGAAAATTATTCTTTCTAAAAGTTACCTTATTTCTAGACCCTGAAAAGAGAATAGAAAAACCCTTGTTTGGTACTACTAAACAGAGAAATGCAATAACTATGATTGTAATTACACTGGCAGATTTGTCTTTTAATGATTCTTGAATGTGGAAAGTAAATGGATTCAAACTTACTATTGAAAGCTTCTTTGAATATGCATGCTCTTAAGTATAAATACTACTTTGATACCTTAGTATTCTGTCACAGAAACCTGTAAGAAGTAGATTAAATTAATAATTCAGAGAGACTATTATCATAAAATATTTTTGTGTTAAGATCTAAATCACTCTTGCATGATTGGGAGCACATTTTTTTGTATCCATAGGAAGCATTTCTTCTAGATCTGATTTTTTTATGTAATTTTGTATGATTTCCTGTCAGTTCAAGAATAGACTTTAATCTGCAGATATGTGCTAGGAAGTATCTGTAAACTAATTCGTCTGTTGGAATTAAATAAGTACATATGATAATCTGAAACTATTGTCTCATTACAGTATTTCTTTATTATTGTAAGTTTGTTTCCTTAACTGTCTTTGTTTATTTTTAGAGAAACCTCAGATAATCTTCCAGTACCAAATCAAAAGGGATTGTTTACTAATATTTCAGGTATTTAATATCTAGTTTAAGAACATACAAACTTTTTCTTTCTGCTCAAAAACTATTTTACAAGAAAATATTGTTGGAACAACTAATTTTAAAAATATTACCAAAATCAGAGTAAGAAGATAATTTATAGCAGAGCTTCTGGTTAGAGACACTGCCTCTTAATCTCAAATGTTGTTCCAAGTGATGTAAAACTGAATTTTTCTCCAAACTAACAAAATAAGTGCTTAGACCAATGAACAGAATATTCTCCATAGAACCATTCATTGATGCAGTGATCCAGGAGGCGGGGAAAGCCAAACCCACAAACTTTCCCAGCTAAGAAGAAATTAAATGTCATCCTGATAAAAAGTAAATTGACCTGTGATTGTTACAGTGTTGAGTCTCATGTACATTGACCTACTAAAAAAATTTAAAAATAACTTTTTTTTCAAATGAAAATGCCTTTACATTTCTAGCTATGGATTTGCACTCCTTAGTCTGATAATACGAGTTTATATATGAAAATAATATTAAGTATTTATTGTGTGGATAACGTTTGGTATTCTTGGTAGTTATTTTATTAAGCACTGATATAGTGGGTGGTGGTGGCTGTTTTAAAGAAATGTTTCATGCACACAATTGCATAGCAGTGAGGGAGAGAGGTGGCCAAGTTTAACTTGGGGGTTTTTGTGTATGTAATTACCAGAAGTGGCAATTTGAATTTCAAAATAAGGTATTTCAAATTTTAATTATTGGGGGGAGCTGGGGTTTCTTCTTTGTTTTGTCACTGATTCTGCAGTGGGACTGAGCATTAAATAGCTGCCTCTTCCTTGTAAATAGCTTTTCTTTTTTGATGTTAGGTATGCTGCATTCCTTTGTAAAGCCATTGGAAGCCATTTGGAACATCTTATTAGTTTCAGGGAAAACTGATGTAAAATACCAATTTTTTTAGTCTTAACAACCAGTCCTTCAAAGTGATAAATAAGCGTTTGAGAATTTACATGCACGTCTCACTGTCCTGTCAGGCTTTGGAGGTTTTCGGGAGCTTTTCAGACCCTGAATATATACACAGATTTTATCTTGTTAATATTTGTGAATTTTCTGTTTCGTATTACTTCTTGTATAAAGTAAGTTTTAGTTTATAATCTGTGTTTGCATTTTAGGTGTATTTGAATCACATGGAACTCTCGTAGTGCCTAACGTTAGTGTTATAGCTCCTGAAAAATTATCTGCCAGTGCCAGGCGTCGTCAAGAAATTCAGGTACAGACACATCAATTAAATATTAAGAAGTGTTCCTTAAAAGTTAAGGAATGGTAGAATTCATATTTCCATTATTACCTGACTAACACAAATTCATCCTATTTGTTTATTATTCATGAAATAAACTAGGAACAACACAGAAGGTTGAAGGCAAAGAACACCTTTTTTTGATGTTTTGGATGTTGGAGATTATCTCTGATATTGTGGCTTAGCCATTCTTGTGCATACATATTAGAAATCTTATTTTACTTGATTCTGGAAGTTCCCTTTTTTTTCTTTTTCTTTTTTTGTCTTTCCCTCCCCATTTTTAAATGCTGAAGTGTGTTAAAGGTTCGTGTGGTTTAACCCCAGCCAGCAAAATCAAGCCCCACACAGCCACTTGCTCACTCCCCCACCAGCAGGATCAGGGAGAGGACTGGAAGGATAAAAGCTAGAAAACTCACAAATTGAAATAAAGACATTTTAATAGGGAAAGCAAATCTGCACACACAAGCCAAGCAGAACAAGGAATTCATTCACCGCTTCCTGTGGGCAGGCAGGTGTTCAGTCATCCCCAGGAGAGCAGGGCCCCTTCACGTGTAACAGTTACTTGGGAAGACAAACACCATCACTCCAAAGGTCCCCCCCATTCCTTCTTCCCCTCACTTCATGTACTGAGCAAGATGTTATATGGTGTGGAATATCCCTCTGGTCAGTTTGGGTCACCTGTCCTGGCTGTGTCTCCCCCTAGCACCCCAAGCCCCCTTGCCCAAAAAAAAACATGTCTGTATTTTCAATCCTGTGTTCAGCACAAATACAAAACTCAGCCCTGTGCTTGCCATTGTGAAGAAAGTTAACCCAGCCAAAACCAGCACAAAGGTGCAAGTTCATCATACTTCTAATTAGCAGTATGTAACAGATACTCTATGTATTTTATTTCATTCTGTTGTCTTAAAACTAAAGGCCTAAGAAAAAATTGCAGCTTTAAAAAAACCCCAAACCAACCAACCAAAAACAAAATCAAAACCCACAACCCTGCCTAAAACATTACATTATAGTTATGTAGAAGAGATTCAGTGATGCTGGAAACAAATGTCAGAGTTTTCTCCTTTAGGATTATTAACTACAAGATATTTAGAGTATATGGTAAACCAGAACTTTAATCTTCTCCCCCCACCTTGGATGTGCAACAAAAAAATCTCCCCTATAAATAGTTCTTGAAACCCAAATAAACGAATGAATGTTATTCTCTGAGCTTTGAGCTAAACAGACCTACTGTTTTAGGTTTTGAATATGCAAAAGCAACTTTTCCATGGTAGAAAAGACAACATAATGCAAGGCTGCAACTACATTTGTAAAGTGCTACCTTTGCAGGACCACTAGCTTGCTCTGGAAAAGTGTTAGAAGGCATGACCCATTTTTTGGTTTGACTTTCAAAATCAAGTCAAGTCCTTCTTCAGCTAGAGATAATTCATGGTATCCAGTCACAGGTTCTCACGTTCCTGTGACAAGTTATCCACCACACAGAAACAGAAAGGCAGTTTTCATTAGGTAGGTGAGCATCCACATTGTAACGTGCGGTTAGTTCTGTCAGCTTTAGCACCGTGCCAATGTTGGCAAGTGTTTACAATTGCTGCAAGAGTGGCTTAGCCCCAGTCTCCTTCCTCTCTGCTCATCAAGGATTATTGTGACATTGTTACTGGAAATTATATTAAGCATGAATTTTAATTTAAATATTATATAGTTCTACACCTTGTGTTAGAAGCAGCCTCTTCTCATCTGTGAAATAGAAAATCAGCACTTACAACCCATTATCACACAAGCAGTGTATTTTACTTTTGCCCATCTTTTGTTCCTAGGTCCAAACAAGACTTCAGACATTCATTTCTAGCCTGCAACAGAAAACAAGTGAGATTGACATTTTAGCTGTAAGTATTTGGCAGAAGCCTGAATTGTTCCAAATTTTTAATTGAAATGGATGATGCAGTTCCTCTCTGGAACAAACTACTGCCAATCGCCTCACTTCAGAGATACCAAACTTCTGGTTAAATAAGATCCATGGCCTGTTTCTTTAATACTTGAAAAGCATTAAAGGGATGTATGGGACAGTTGCATAGAACAAAATTTAAAAAGTATTTAGTTATAAGCTCTTAAGCTGTAATTATACTAACTACTGTGTTAGATTTAATAACTTGTTCCTGCTAGATTTGCACTTCCATTTAAATCAACATAGCTCTTGTCTGTATATAGTTTTTAGACTTCGCTGACAGTGTCACAAAGGCTTTTAAAATGGTATATATGCTTTTAAGGAAACATACTGCCTATTTGCTGGCACCTATCTGGAACTTTCCATAATGGAATTTGTCATGAACACTGTGTTTAAAATTATTAAAACACTTGTAATTTCCTAGTTATATCAGCATGAGTACTTCTTTGGAAATCAAAAATTCTGGCTCCCTTGGCAAACTCATTGAACAGAGAACTGTTAAGTACTGATTTCTTGGTATTTTTACAGGTAGATCTGCCAAAAGCAACTGTGATACACTTCTTATCGTTAGAGGTAGGCATTTAAGTATTATTGTTAAAACTCTAATTATAAATCTATTTATCTAATGATAAATTCTTTTTCTAATGAAGTGCAATGTAAAATTCACCCATTGTAGTGTTTTTCTTTCAAGGACTTTGAATTAGGTTTTGAAACTTGAAAGGACTTTTTTACCCAAGGAGCTTGACTGTGACTAGAAAATCATTTTTGTCAAATATCCAAGTTACACAAAACAGCATTAGGAAGTCCTAATCCAAAGCTCTGGGTTTTTTTCCCAAAGAATAGTTAACTGAAATTAAGTCTTAACTGCACTTTTTCAGAAACCAGTAAGCATTAATAGCCATTTCAGCAAAGATGATGCTTAAAGCTGTTAATGAAGCAGGACCCAAAATACAGAGGCAGTTGTTTGAAGTACAGTAGTTGAAACATCTCTTGGTGAAGCCAAGATAAAAAGTGAATGTATAACTATTAAATTGGCACCTTTAACAACTTTGGAACTGCTCAGTGCTGGACAAGGGGAGATGACAACACCAAAGACAAAGCTTTCTTCCTTCCTCCAATGATAGCACTATGTTTAAAGTCAGAAGCTCTTACTAGGGAGATGGATGCCTCCCCAGCTGCTGGAAAAAAAAACCAAACTCAAGAAGGGCATCCTAGAGAGTGCATTTAGTACTTCCAGACCTTTCATTTGCTGCTCTGAAGCAGTGCTTGTCTGGTAATCAAAACCCAGTGAAACATTTCAAGACATTTTCAAAATATTTAGTTCATCCAGTCTGCTCAAATCATGAAGATAGTTTATCAGCTTTCACTTAAAAAAAAAATACATGTGCACTATTAGCTTGCATCATTCATTTTTGATCACCATTATATCACAGTTACTATATTCTGTCCAGCACCACAAAATTGATAGAGCCATTTTCATTGCTTATGCCTTTTTAGCACAAAAATTTTTTAAGAAACTGATCCCTACATTCTTAATAAAGTTGCAGGTGCTGTTGGTATCCATATTCTTTGAAAGCTCTTTAATTAAGGAGCATTGACATTACATGATATTGAGAAGACTGCATGCTATTTGGTGAAGTATTTCCTTCACAAGAGAATGTAAGACAAGTTCCTTGTCAATTTTTTTTTCTTAGCTTGATGGAGATAGACAAGCCTTTGATGCTACTGTGAGACAGTTGATGTCACGATGGCCCAAACAGAGATGTTCATACTTACAAGCAATTTGTGATGAAATTTACAGTATCAAAATGGAAAAGAGGTAAATTTGTTAAGCTCTTACAGGTACATAAACCATCTTAATTATTTCTGCATTCAGACTACTAAATAAGCTGCTCCTACTTTGTCCTCCTCTTTCCCCTCTCCCTGAAGCAAAAATAAATATTCAGTATAGTTCCTTGAAAAGTATGGGAAAAGTTTAGTGGTCATCTAACCCTCACTTACTGGTAAAATGTAAATTCTTGGCCATGTAAATTCCTAATTTTTTATAAGCCCTTTCAAGAAACTCTGAAATGTATTGCCACTTTTATCGCACTTGCTGCTGTGTTAATAAAACTGAATAGCAAACAACTCTATGCAGTCAGATATACTGCTATACCTAGTAGATATACTTCTGTGTAAATACAGTGTACATATATGATGGTATACATATATGCATGTATCTTTCCTGATCAGAGGGACTCAGCTTGCCTTTTAAAACTCATGAGCACATTTAATTCCTCCTGCTTTGAAATAATATAATGGCAGTTAGGCACAACTAAGAGTGCCCAGCTTCAAGCAAACATGTACAGTAAAGCCCATTTCTGTTTTCTAACCATAAAAGCATATATGTTCAACTTATAGCCTCCTTGCTGGATTCTGGCAAGGCTGAAACCCAGATAGTCCAGATAATCTGCACACATCCAGTACATTCAGTTTTAAACCTCAAATTGTCAGCTGTTGTATGTACATGTATTTATGCACATTCTTAAACCTATGTTGCACTTGACTGTACTACTTAACCTTTAAATTAGACTAAAACCTTACTTTGGTTCCTTTTTCTTAGATGCACCAAAATCCTTCATGTTTGCTAACATTTACTATGGCAACTAAAGAGCAAGTGAAGCATTTGTTTTTCTCCCTGTGACTTGCAGGGCTGTGAGCAACAGAACCCAGTTATTACATACAAATTATATTCCATACAGTGTTTGGTATGAATGTAATGCAGTCCCTGAAGTCTTACTTTCCCATTTGATACCTGAGCACTGCGTAGTCACAAACCTATAGATCACTGAATGAAAACAGAACAGGCTAGATCAACTGAAAGAGGATGAAGGGGAGAATTGCAGTGACAGCCTAACAAAGACTCACTGATTTTTTTTTTCTACTCAATCTTTGCTGTTATCTTATTGCACTGATTTGTCACAGGAATTGTAACTTTTGAACCTGCAAAGTTTTAAAACTGTCTCTTTTTTTCTTCCCTCTGCAGGGTTCCTGCACTCATCCTGTACAGTTACCGAGATGAATACAAGGTTTTGTTTTAGTCCTTAAAGCATCTCTTATGGGATGCTCTTAAAAATAGACAACAGTGTTTTGTCAAAAGGAATTTCAAAAAGCTGTAATAATGCAAGATGGGCAAGTAGTGCCTTTTACCTGTGTCCAAATTGAATTTCATGTATATTTTCCTGATTCCAGCCAGGACAGGGATAATTTTTGCTGCAGGGGGGAGAAAGTGGGGCCAGGACTCAGAGATTATTCTGTAGGGTGAAGGTGTCTCTTCCAAAGAGGATGAGTCCCTTCCAGGACAGAGGGAGCGGTCAGGCATTGTTTCTGTGGCAAACATTTGCCTCTTTCTTGTATCCTCTGTCGTTAGTATTGTTGCTGTTCCTGTTTGTTTTCATATCTCATTGCTGTTTCCAGTAAATTATTCTGTTTCCAGTAAATTATTCTGTTTCCAGTAAATTATGCTTAGTTCAGCCTGTGATCTTTACCTTTTGTGCCCCCAATTCTCCTCTCCAGCCTGCCAGAGGGGAGGGGGGGTAGCAAGAGGCATATGATTTCAGTGGAAGCACTAAATTGGAGAACACTATTCCTGAAGCACAGCAGCCTTACTGGAGAATACCATTCCTAAACCACGACAAATGTAAAACTGTATTATGTAAAAATGTGGAAATAAATGTTTTATAAGCAATTAAGGAGTCTGACTATAGCCACAGCTATGTATCACAATGTAATTCTTGCCCCTTATGCTACAAAAATCAGCTGTACAGATGTAAAACTCATTTTGTAAAATAGTTTTCAGACTGCCTTTTATGCAACAGTAGTACTGCAATGGGAAACCTCACTTCAAGAACTAGAGAGAATAAACTGCCTTCAACTGTGACAAACTGTTTTAAACTTTTTTGAAGAATTTTTATGTAATAAAAGGTTTAGCTACTGAGCCTTCTTGAAATGTGCATTACAAGCTTTTAGTGTGTGATTGGTTTGTTGTTTTCTTTTTTAAACCTACTGTTTTAATTTGTATATAAAGTATGGTAGATTTCAGACTGAGAGCTGTTACTGGTGCCTATGCTTGTCCTGTCTGTACTTTTGCATTTAATTCAAGCTTCTGTGAGACAAAGACCTAACAGAAGCAAGTACTTGTTTCAGACCTGCAGGATCTAAACCGAAGAGAAAGAGTAATCTGCATGTGCTTGAGGCATAACCAAAGTTTTGAACTAGCTTTCCTTACCTGGGTTATCAGATTAAGTCTGAAGTCAGTAATGATGGGAATATTATAATTATCTTCTTGAAGCAAGTAGCGCAACCCCATCAGGAAGAATGAAGCTGAGAATCTGAAGATAGGTTACAGCAGCCTTAGTTAACTATGAATAGTATTATACATCAAATACTGGAATGAATATGCAGAAATGTTAGGGATTTCTGGAAATATACTGGTGTTCAAACAGCTTACACCTCTTTCCTTCTCTAACTTAAATGACTGCCCTTAGCACTGCAGGCTCATTGCACTAAGAAATACCTACTTAGTAATTTCTGCTTTGCTCTTTTAGTAAAGGGGAATGCAGAGTTAAAATAGGTAGAGGTAACTTTAAAGAAAAAACCAAGAACTTCTGAGAACTGTGAAAGTTGTAAGAGCAACACCCAAAGCAGCATCAGCAGAGTGAATCCTAAAGGCACAGATAACTGTACCATTCCTAGCTATTCACTAAGACAAGTCATTACAACCAAATCCATTTTTCATTATGTTTAATAGGAACAATTAAGTATTTTTACATCTGCTCATATGAAGGAAGGAAAATTCAGATCCCCAAATATATTGAAGGATGAAGTTTAAAAAAAATAACAGTTTAGATGACATGAGCATTTTTAGGCCATGTCTGAAGGGAATATGATGCAAAGTCCTACCCTCCTCCCACCCAGGGACAGCACAGCTTGATCAGCATGGAGTAAAGGCACAGCTGCCTGGCTCTACAAGAGCTCCAGCATTGTGCCGGCTGCCTTAAGGATATCCACACGGCATGATGTAGACTTGCCCCTCAGATTAAGACACACAAACAGGAAAGCAGCTGTTCCTGATAATATGTTGGCACCTGCTCTCCCTGTTATTACTGAGGCTCAGGTATGAAACTGGGCATCTGTCACTGGGACTCCTCCTCCAGTCTTACTTTCCTTCTGGTATGGTGCATTTCTCTTCACCCTGTGTTACCCCCCCAAACAGATTTCACAAACAGCAGCAGTATAAGTACAAAACTTCTAAAGCTATTTTAGTAAAACACTGTACATACTCCTGCCATACAACAATCCAAAGAAAGCACCTCTGCTGTCAGTTTAAACAAAAGTACTGATCATATCCCAGCATCCTGCTGGAAGGAAAGCCAAAGACAAGTGGTAACTCAAAAAGAAATGGACTTTGCTTTGAGTGCGGGTCAAGTCTGTTATGGTGATGGTAAGACACTGTTCTGTCACTGTGTTGCTTTACTTTTCTTGGTTTTGCTTTTCTTGTCTTTTTTCTTCAAGCCATCCATGTTAGCCCTCAGCAGATTTGAGTATGCCTGAAACAACAGTTGGAACCATTTAAAAAACCCAAATACTTAAATGATAATATGTGAGAAGCAACATTTTACGTATTACTAAAGGACAGTTATCTGCATTCTCAGAATAATGCTCTTACACCATGCACTGCAAACATACTGTTTCTAAACCAATACACAAAGTCAGAAAAAATAAAACACAACTTTTTTTAAAACAAATGCAGATGGATGGGTAGTCTAAGGTTAATCTATATAGCAGTTCAGCACAGAATTAACCTATTCACAGCTGTCCAACACTTCCAAGTGACCATTCCCAACAGCTACAGAAAAGGAAGATAAAAGGAATAAAAAACTTACCATCTGGAATTTATTTACTTCCTTTGAGCTCACCTACAAAAGTAATACTGAAGGTTAACCAAGAAAACTCTGGCGTCTGTTTCAAACCAAGTATCAGTACATGTTTATTCACCAGATAGCACCTAGTCTCTACCAGCATTTGGGTCCATTTATCACATTCAGTGGTCAATAGGCTGTACTGATATAAGACTTCACTCATTTAGAAAACTGAAAATACTACTTGATTAACGGAATCCTCTAGAGGCCATTCATCCCTAATGCATGTGTTTTCAAATGAGAAGAATGTGAAGGAACATTTAGAGGAAGGTTTGATTAACTTGTAGGGCCATAAAAACACTGCAGCCCGGATTCGCTCAACCATTTCTCAACATTTTTCCTTGTGTCACATCATAGAGGAGAGCTAAAGTCAGCTAAAACCTTTCCCAATCCCTCAAAGTAAACATGTCAGGTTTTCAACTTCTACTTAACATTTTCTGAAATTTCACTTAAAATACAGAGCATTACATCAAAGACCCACAAGGCCACTAATCTTTTTAACTCAAAGTTGTCACTTACCACTGTGCTAATTTTCTTCTTTCCATCAGTTGCCCTTAGAAGACACTTATTGTCTGCTGGTTCAAAACTTTCTACATGGCCTTTGCGTGGGACTGGTTTTGTTCGGCCATCATCTGTATTGAAAGAGAATGTTTATCCGTTATTTCATTAAAATCAACAGATGCCTTCTGACGTTAGGTGTTGAAAGAATGCTCGTGATCTGTAAAACTGACAAACTGTGATCTGAACTGACAAACTGTTCACAGACCTCTTACTCTGTAACCCCAGAAGGATCAGTTCCATGAGCTATATCTGTAAGAAAAAATAAAGTAAATCCTCACCCCAACATGCCGTATGAACCACCTGCTCCAGCAGCAGTGTGCTTTAAGTGCATGTCATCCTGCTGTCTTCCACACAGGGCCTCTCAAGTAGTGCCAGCTAGCCAGGAACCAAAGGAACATGAACAGACCAAGGCAATACTCGAATTCTCCTTGTATAGAAATCTAGTGGGTTTCAATTACTGTTTGACAATCAGAAAGTCCCATATCTCCCACACTCCGAAATAGTCTTACTCAAAGTTTATTAGTACTACTAATGGCAGTACCTTTAGTACTCCAGTAGACTGGTTTGTCCCTGTGACCGCTACAACTGTATCTTTTAAAATACCTGCTGACAACAGTCAAGTGTAGAAGAACACCTCCTTAGTCCAGCACCACACGCGAAACTTACATTTCTTCAGCGTTATGAAAACACTCCCGGAAGTTCTGCACTTCTGGAACAGCCTGGTAAGCTCCGTCAGGAACTGCAAGAGAAAAGAGACCCGGCCTTGGTTGTGGGGCACCACACAGAGCCGAGCCCCTCTCCCCGCGTGGCCTCGACCCGCGCCCTCCATCCCGCGGGAGCCAGCGCCGAGGGAAGGCGAGCTCCCGGCTTTCCCCACGCCGGAGCCGCAGGACACGAGGCCGCAGCCAGGGGCGGCCCGGCTCGGCGTTCTGACTCCAGACACGGTGTCTGAGCTCCCCACAACCCCCGCCGCCCCGGCACTCCCACCTCCCCCGCCCGCGTCACCGGGCACAGCAACGCTCGCCCCGCTCC